TCTATCCTTCTGAGGTCGGTAAAATGAGTACCCAGCTTGCTGGGGGGGGGCAATGTGTAGCCTGCACAATTAACTTGTAAACCACCCAGAGAGTGCTTGAAGCACTATGGGGAGGAATATAAGCAACACACTTTAGTTCATTTTTTTGACCCAGAAGTTACTCTGCTCAGGCTTTCTCACCAATTATTAGTCAGTTTTTCAATTGTGCAGCTATGTTAGCTTTCAAAAAGATTACTTTTTCTTTTTTTCTGAACTAAAGGATCCTATAAGCTTATGCCAAGTCTACTAATTCCATTGAATTAGATTTCATTTGTTTAAGAAAATAAAACATGCTCTCAGAGCAGTCCAGTTACGAAATAAGTTTTTAAATTTTCCATAGAAAAAACAAAATGAAATACTTTTACTGGGTTTTATGGAATCACTAGATTTTAGAGATTTGAATAGCCTTCATATGTTACAGAGCATGCTCAAGTCTTATATTTGCTAGTAAGCCTAATTAATATGGAGGTGGTTTCAGGCACAGAAAATAATGTTCCAGAATAGTATTGTAAATCATGAGCATTATTGTACAATAAAGAAATGCTAGTGTGGATATATCATTTTTCCCATTTTCCTTTTCAGATTAGAATTTAGTCAAAAGTTGCCTTCTTTTTTAATGTGAACAAAATATGTATGTATTTAATCATGCAGAAAAGAATAGAACACTTTTCTCTTATAAAGAAAAGCACAGAACACTTTGCTCTTTGAAACTGGGCAAGATCATATGATAAAAACAGTGTATATGTCATTAATCAAACTTTTTTCCTAGAGTTCAAAATAGATAATCATTCAAGAGTCAATTATCCTTTGACATATACAGTGGTGCCTTGCTTAACAGGCGCTCCGTTTAGTGACAAAACCGCATAGCAATTAACTTTTTGCGATCGCAAAAGCGATTGCATTGCAGTGTTTCCTATGGGGTTTTATCGCTTTGCGATGATCGGTTCCCTGTTTCGCTTACCGATCATCGCAAAGCGATGATTTTTAAACAGCTGATGGCGGTTCCAAAATGGCCACCGGGTTAAAAAAAAGGTCGGCCACTGTGTTTTCGCGCCGATTCCTCACTTAAGAGGCAGCGAAAATGGCCGCCATATGGAGGATCTTCGCTTTAAGGTCAGTTTTTAGCCCATAGGAACACATTAAACAGGTTTTAATGCATTTCTATGGGCTTTTAAAAATCGCATCACGACGAAATAGCTTAGCAGCGATTTTTGCTGCACGGATTAACATCGCCATGCAAGGTACCACTGTACCATATTGTGATAATCAGTTGATTTTTGCCATTGGTAAGTGATAAATTATATTTAGGCAATTCTTCTTTGTGGCCTCTGTGAATCACACCCTGGGTAATCCGCACCTGTGCAGAGCCTCATCGGAAGATTCTAGAGTTTCTGCGGTAGCAAAAAAACCCACATTAGTGTAGATCCCTCTCCCTCCATACATGTACCTTGGCGCCAGGGCTCTCCTTGCAGTTTCTTTCAACCACCGCATTGAGAGCCTCATGTTTTTTGCTTCTGTGAGTTAAAAGTGAAAGAGAGTTCAATCTCAATTCCTTTTATTTTTATTTAAATCTTATTATTGTTTTTCTAAAGATATATTGGGTGGGCCCGTGTAAACATTGCATGGTCTGTGACAATAAAATCCCACTTTCGGACAGCCATGCTAAATGTTTATTTTGCCTTGGTGAAGCTCACCAAACCTCCTTGGGCCCTCACTGTAGGAAGTTTAAATGTGGAGTTCTCTGCAGTTGCCTTTCTAGGCATAAGGTTTGGCTTTGGGAACAATCCCTTCAAGCTGCGATAGTCATGCTTCAGCCTCCTTGTAAAACTACCTCACAACTAAGGCTATGGAAAAAGCCATCTCAGAGATGGCAAAACAACTCCCTTTGGCCATGCAATCTTGTTCCGATGCCCCCTCAATGTCATCTAAGCAGACAAACGGGCAAAAAACTCAAAGTCTTCGACATCGAAAATGACCACAAAAAGAAAGCTGTCCATCAATGACTCTTCAGCTCCAGATCCCTTGCCACCGGAAAAGTCCAAATCTTCGAAGGTGAAACCCCCTGGGATTGCTTCTCCGCAGCCCTCGGAGGACAGGGACTTAATTTGTGTGGGTTCAGCCTCAGATGAAGATACCGACCGATGTCCATGGATGCTCCCTTGACATTGACATCTCAACGTCAGCGTCAATACTTTGAGGAGCAACCCCTCAACATTGATGTTGATTGTCAATCCATGGATTCCAGACATGATGTCGATCATTCTGAACAAGGCTCCAGACCACAGACATCATCTATCTTGCTGACTTCTCCTGAATCTGATCTAGCAGATGCTGATCCTCCATCTCCAGCAGAAGATTTTCAAACTTACACACAATTAATGGTGCATATGGCCAAGTCCATGGATCTCCAGACACAGTGGTGCCTCGCTTAACGATTGCTTCATTTAACGAAGAATTCGCTTAGCGATGGCTTTTTCGGAGCGATCTTGCGCTCCGTTTAACGATGTTCCCTATGGGCGCTTTTCGCTTAGCAATGTTGGGAGCAGCCGGGCGGCGGGGCAGAAAGGCAGGAGCCGATCCGGTCTTTCTCCCCCACCATCGGGCGCAGCGCTTTCAGAGAAGCCTCCCGGTGGGGGGGAAGATCGGATCGCCTTCTGCCTTTTTTCCCCGCAGCCTGGCTCCTCCCAAAGGGCTGTCCCGATGGTGCCTGCAGCAGCGGAGGAGGTGCCCGGTGCGGAGAAGCCTCCCGGTGGGGGAAAAAGACCGGATTGGCTACTGAAGAAGCTCTAGAATCTTCTGACGGGGCTCTGCACAGGCGTGGATTACCCAGGGTGTGATTCATAGAGGTCTACTTGAAGAAGTACAATTACAGGTGAGTAACCTGTTGTTTCTAGTGTCCCTTCCCATACTTAATGCAAATGCAACAAAGTCTGAAGATCAAGTCAAAGGTTGTTTTATGTAATGGATTTTAGTACAGCTTCCAGCTTGTTACTGTTTATTGTGGATATGATCACTAGACAATGCGATTTGCCATATGTATCGTTTTAAAAGGTATTCTGAGGCTGAAATCCTGTTGTGCGTCTCTACATATGCAACAGGAATGACATTGTTAGTGACAGATTACCTGCGATTAAATTATGTCTTCTCAATTTCATAGTGTACACAGTTTGCATACAATGAGGTGAAGTCATGTGCACTAAAAAATTGAAAAACAAAGTCTTATTTATTCATAGCAGAGCACTGCACAATTTAAAATTATGGATGTATATGAAATATAGGTACAATTTTCAATGGACCATTGCATCTGTTTTGCTCATGATCAAGTTTCTAGTGCAGTGTTTCTGGAAGTGAAGGATTGGCAGGCTCTATGCCATTGCCCAGGGGATGCTTGAGTGTACTCAGTGCTTTCCACTCTACATGGAGGCTCCTTCTATGTCTCCTAAAGAAAGTCTTTAATCAGTGGCATGCCCAACAGGATTTCAGCCAGAAACTATTGCAAAACTTCTATTGTCTTTAAGTAGAAATGACTTTTGTAGTAATGACTCAGTTTAAACTTCATTGTAATGCCAATTGGTTGAAGGTAATTTTAGATTGTAGCTACTTGTCACATGTGTAGGATAAGACCTGCTTAGCATATTTAATCCCAAACTGTTGGTATTTCTGAGCCAGTAGCAATAAATATTCTCTGATGTTATTTTTGTTGTGAGAGAAGAGTAAAAACTCTTCAAATAAAATTACAATTAGGATTCACTGCAAGTTTAATTATGGAAATATTCTGTGTAATGTCATGTCTCTTTTTAAAATATTCAAAATTAAACTGTATCTGCAATGTAAATATTTTACCTTCCCCTCCCTATTTGCTGATCAGCAAAATGAAGAACATCATATGCATCTGTCTCTTGTACTGTAGCAATGTTTAAAATTTAGGATTAGGATTTTGCAGATACTCTCTTTCTGCAGAAAATACAATTTTTTTTTGGATGAATCCTATGTTATGACCCAGTCCCACTTAGAACTGTAAAGAGGTGAGAGTGGTGAACTGATGTTCTTGATTGTTTGCGTATTGGATTCCAGTATTGCAGGGTTTGGATATTAATTTACCAGGTTGATTTCTGCATTGCACAATAGCTGTGCAACTACGTATGTATGCATTGCTATACAACACATTTTATGTTGCATACTACTATAATGCATCTGTTAATTTGTATCATTTATTTAATTTGGCCTCATCTAATTCTAGCATTTTTAAGGGTTTAAATATAATTTTAAACAAATAGAAATCAATACTTTGTGGCAGATATCGGTGACTGGATGTAAGGCATTGTGATGTGGCATTGTTTCAAATACTAGTCCACTAAAGTTTCTGTAAGCTGTCTGCCAAGATATTTTTATTTGCACAATGTATGGGTTCTGCCAAGTAACAAGTCTATTCCTGTGTGCTTTCTGGATGTATGTTATGAACCTTTGAATATGTATTATTTTTGAATTTCAGGAAAGTAAAGATTTATACTAAATGTTATTTTTGCCAGACTTGTGATGCCAAGCCCATATTTGATATAACTGGGATTCAGGTTGAAGGACAGAGTACAGGGGAAATATGTAGATGAGAGAGGAAAGATGGTTTAATCCTTCCCTTGCCTGCTGCTTCTAACCAGCAGATACGTCTTATTGCAGTCTGGTTACATCTCAACTGTATTCACTTTATTTGTTGGAGCCTAGCGGGGGACATGTTTTTAAAAGCCCTGGGTGTGTTTTATATGGATGAGTGGGAAGGCTGGAGAGTGTGAAATGTGCTTTCTCTGCCTGTTCTTTTTCCCCCTTCCAAATGTATTCCTAAACCCTATTCTAGGGATGCAGTGGCACTTGGAAGCAATCTGCCCCTCTATACGTTAGGGGGTTTGGCCCTTAGCAACGTTCCTTCATCAACTTATATAACAGATTGCCATTTCTTCTCCTCTTAGATATGTGTCACAAAGATGTCTACACGGAACTGCCAAGGAATGGATTCTGTGATCAAACCACTGGACACAATTCCAGAAGACAAAAAAGTCAGAGTTCAAAGGACACAGAGCACTTTTGATCCCTTTGAGAAGCCAAATAACCAAGTCAAGAGGGTCCATTCAGAGAACAATGCCTGCATTAATTTCAAGACATCGTCTACTGGGAAGGAATCTCCTAAAATCAGACGACATTCCAGTCCTAGCTCTGTAAGTCCAGACATGCCGTATTTATCTCTACTAAATTCTCCAACCAAGTTCCAAATATTTTTGGTGCTTTTAATAGCAGTAGTGCTTTATACAAAATGGTATGCTGAGATTGTGTCTATTTTTAAAACTGCCCAGCAACAAGCACTTTTAGGCTCAAAAATATTCATGATCCAAAATGATTCAAGTAATACACTTTTTTTGTATATGTAAGATGTATAAATGTTAACAGGGTAACAGCATTTGGAGTGGCATTTACAATCCTTATGAATCCTATTCACATTGCAGTACATGTTTTGGATATCTCTTATATGGAAAAACTAAAGGCTATGAAAAGTAAACTGGTGTTAATTCTAGGAAATGTATTGTGGAATCTTTCTCAAATAGCTTACTTTCTCTGGTTAGTCACTTTTTTCCCGATATTTCCTTTGGGACACAGACATCACAATCTGTGGGAGTGGGTGGGATTAAAACCTACTTTATTTCACTTAAAAACATTCCACAAGGTGAAAAAAATTAAAACGGCAAGATTTTGGTCTGAGGATAGAAATTATACTATCTCTGGGTGAGAGACGCAAGTTACAATGTTAAACCTTTGTCAAACAAGACCTTTTAATAAAGCAAGCACTCTTGTGCAGCAATAGTTTGTGAAATCATGAAATAGTCAAAGCTTTCCAAATATGTTATGTTTTCCCCATGTGGTATATTTATTTTCAAAGAATACTGATAAATGAAATGTCATCTTGCTTATGACGGGTGTGCTGGCAGTTATCCCAGAGGTATCCTGCCAAATTATTGTATATGAAAACTACATTTTATCTTCCAGTGTAGCATAAATCTGTAATAATGGGGCCTTTGAGCTAAAGAATACAGATTCTTGGGAAATGTGGATAGTATTTTTGTGTGGCATATAAAGAAATGTAGAGAAAATGCAAAAGAGATTAATAATTTGGCAAGGAAATCAACCTAAGGATTCAGTTAGACTTTAGTATCCATATGAATCCATAAAATATTCTTGTTTTCCTTTCTTTGTTCCATTGAATCTCTTATTTCTTATTCATATTCTTAAGAATTTCTTATTCTTTTACCTTCTTTTATATATAGACTTTAAGTCCAATCTTTAATTGTAGAACGTTATCATTTTCTAACTTGAAGAAGTTGGGCTGAGGTTAAATGGCATCAATTGAGATATCTCAGAGATCTCATTCTCTGTTGGCTCCAGCCATTTGGGGGTTGCTCTGTGTTATTTGTTTTGCTCCAGATTTGAATAGCTATCCCAGCATTAGTGTCCACACATGGGAGCCTATTCGTTGCTGGATGTGCTGGGATACACTGGCTTGTGCCAGTATTTCCCATTCACATACACTTTCATGGCTCTCTGAGGTCTCACTCTGAGCAAAGATTACTGTCCTTTTTTGTCTGTATTCTCTGTCATCTCTTTACACACACTCTTCCTTTGCCTCCTTATTTTACCTGAACTCTATTCTCAAACCTTCGCCTCTTTGCTGTGATGTTTTCTTTCTTTTTTTATTTTTCATTTTCCCTTTTGTGCTGTGGTACAAAAGTGATAACATTTCTTTGAAAAGCAGAATACCGGAACAACTGATATTTCCTCTGACCTCTCCCTGCCTACTTCACTCTCTCCTCCTTCCCCTCTTAGTTTTACCCACACATGCGTCTCATGGCATCCTGTTTTTCCTTTTTAACTTTTGTTCTATGGTGCAAAATGAGAGATTCAATTGTGGAAAAACCAACGCTTTCCCCCTCACATTTGCCTTCTGTTTTAATTACGGTATCAGAAGAGATCCCTAGGTCTGTCAGGAAAAGACAAGGGATCAAATCATGAGAATTCAGGGCTGCCTCCAACCTGCTGTGTCATGCCAGATAATGTCTCATTTTCAAACGAAATGGTCTACAGTAGAAGGCCTGTGGTCTTCCAGATGTTGAGAGACTGTTATTCCAGTCACTATTAGCCAGACTGGTTAGAGCTGATGGGAGTTGGCTTCCCACACTATCTGGAGAGCCACAGGTTTCCTATCCCTGGTCAACAAGAATGCTGAAACTTCTACAGCAGGGTGCATAGGAGCCTTGTGGCACAGTATTATAGTCAAAACAGTTGTACTGTATTATTGTCAAAACTGTTCATAGTCAGTGTTCAGTCGCAGCAGATTCTGGCAGCGTCTTGAGGTTCACTCAGTCAAATAACCATCCTTCCAGCATTGGTAAAATGAGTACCGGGCTTGCTGGGGGCGGTGGTCAATATGTAGCCTGTATTTGTATTGTAAACCACACAACACTATGGGCCAGTATATTTAAGCAGTACAATTTGCTTTCCCCCCCTTATTATTATTTACAAAGAGTGGCTCTAAATGTGTTCCTGAACTACAACTTACATGATTGGTCACTTCTGAGAGTATTGGATAGTTCTAGTGAGAGATGCAATCCAACAACATCTGGAGGACCACGATTTGTCCATCCTTAATATGCATCCACAGCACTTTCTGCAGGCATCCCGAGGCTCTTTGGATGAAGTGCTGTCCTTCCAGAGATGGGTTTGCTGGCAGGGTTGCACTTCCATCACATTCATTATTGTGCTCTTTCTTTGTTATAGGTGGTTGCTAAAAAGGAAATAGAAGGTACTTTTTTCTGTAACTGTTGCAGAGTTTTGAGTTTTTGGTTCAGTTCCTCTAGCTGTGCAGCAGAAGTGCAGAGATTTACAGAGCAGAATAGCTTCAAATCGCCCAGATTAGTCCATCCTTCTTCTTTTTTCTCATCAACTAGCACTTACAGTCTCAACAACTCACTCTGAGGCTTTAGTAGGAGAAAGAATAAAAACCATTTTCTTTACTTATACTAGTTGTGAACAGATCAAACAGGAAACTAACAAAGATGACTGCTTTTCAGCAAACATCAACAGACTCTAGAGAAAGGGAAAAGCTCTTTCTGGATAGATTGATAGTCACCCCAGGCCAGAAAAGTTGCTCCCATCCAAACCTACTAAAGGCAGCATGTGAAGCTGCAAAAAGCTCCAGCAGTAACAGTAACTATAAAATACAATTATCTAAAGTTACCTCAAATGTTTAAGAAACTGAGCTTGTTGTCATCATGACATCCTATGGCAATGAGTTTTTAAAGAGTATTTTGAAAGAAGTTCTCCCCTTCCCCTCGAAGACATGCAGCTTTTGTGCTATGAAGATCCTTGGACTGAGGCCAATCATAATTCTGAACAGTTAAACAGAAAATAGTTTCCATTTGCTTCTCTTCATCCTTTGCTAAAACTCATTTAAAGAAAATTACCACTTGTGCAAACATAAACAAATAATCAAATTCTTTAACATAGTTAATACCAGGTACACCTCATTATTTCTGAAGTATTGCTTGATTTACATTGTCTTTAAGTCTTCAGACTTTATTGTTCATATAAAGAAACATAGTCACAATCTTCCTCATTCAGTAGTAAATGTGGAGAATCCAGCTTGTGATCTTTGTGTGTTTATAATTAAGTTTGTTTTGAGATTGGGCAGAATAATAGTGTTTTTGTTATCAGGCAGTATAATTTCAAAGGAGAAGGTTCACTGAAGAACAATTGTTAGGAACAAGACTTGTTTTGTTTTTTCTCACTTTATGTTTTGTTTAAATTATTTAAATCATTATTTTTAATTTTCTTATGTGTTTTCATATACTGTTCTTTGGATGGGTGAATTCACCAAGAAAAGCAAGCAGACAACAGATTTACTGGCAATCTGTATTGCCCCTGCATGTGTTTTGCTTATGATTACCTTGGTTACTTTTCCTTGGTAAACATTCAAATCTTTTGAGGCTTCTGTGGGCACATTTTCTTCCATCATGTAGGAAATGCAATAATTCCTCAGTAAGCCTGAACAGAAAACACTTTTTATTTCTTAAAATTAGGAATCCTAAATCCTCCTGTTTCAGCAAGTAATCTCTCTCTCCCTCAACAAATTAATAACCTATTTTCTAAAGCAGTGGTGTCGAACTGTGGCCCTCCAGATGTTCTTGGACTTCAACTCCCAGAAGCCTTCACCACCACCTCTGCTGGCCAGGATTTCTGAACAACAACAACAACAAGGGGGAGGATCTCTATGACATGTCATATTTTTTCTGCAGCCTGTGTTTGAATTTATCAGTCGGTTTAGACATGTTTATGTGTAATCTGGTGAAAAACTCTAGATTATTCATAAACAGGTTTAAACTTGCTTGAAGGTTCAAGTATAGGTTGCAGAGAAAGTATGAGATGTCATAGAAATCCTCCCCCTAATAATAATAATAACAACAACTTAGGTTTCTGATTGAAGCTTGGATCTGTTATATACGGTAATACCAGTCAATGTTTTTATAATTTTGATTGACTGTGCCAGGTATTTTTGAATGCTGCTGTTGTTGCTGCTGTTCTGACATTTATAAACCACCTCATTAGTGCCAGCACTGTTCTGGGTCCATACAAACAACAAAAACACAATCAAATAAATTTATATAACCAAACAATAACAAGAATTATGTGGAACAAAATAAATCTATCTTGTGTCAATCGTAGCCATCGGTTAATATCCCATAGTAAATTGTAACTAGACTAGACCTGTTGAATTAGTTAACTTTATTTCAGTGTTGACTCACTAAATTCCTACTGAATCAATGGGCCTACTCTAGTTGTGGCTTGCTACTGGATTTTATTTATTAATTGCTCTTTTATTGACAAAACAAATGGATGTGGAGGCCTGGCCTGTTTTTCAAGAATTTCACTGGAAAATTCAGTTTTTAAGTTTGGATTAAAAAGTTTCATCTAAATAAAATCTGCACATACCACTCAAAACTGGCATGTGGAATATGCATTTTTGGGGGGTGGTTTTATGCGGGAGGCCTTATGCGTAGAAAGGATTCCTGATGTGACCTTTTCTTCTGCTCATCAGTGCCCAGTAGAGAGAGTTGTTCTTTAGTTCTCTGAGAAGAGCCAGGCTGTTTCTGAGGTAAAGGTGCACAAGTAC